GGGGAGTAAAAATGATACACTCCTCTCTGATTCATCCTACTGAAACTGGAGTCCTGAAGGCTTTGGCTTGTTTAGCAATGTAATCCATCAAATATTTTCACTTGCGAGTGATAAGTCTAAACACATCACATGACTGAATATGCCCCTGCTAAAACTGGGGAATATCACTCGGATATTTCCCAATTTTCAAAACCGCGCGTGTTGCGAAAAATGTTTGAAGGATAACAAACACAATAGCCTCCATTTGGGGCAAAAATAAGCTCGGATAGTTTTCCTTGGACATTATCTGTGCCTCAAAGGTCAGTTTTCCTCGAGCTATGCTCTCAGAAAACTGTTCCTTTTTTTTCGGACAATTATCCGAGCATATTTTCGGAGGAGGCTACCGCTTATATATTTTATTATATTCAAATGCAGACTTAACTCATTGTTTTTTTCCTGCAACAAAGAGTTTTGATGTTGTCGACTCAATTCAAGGAATTGTTTCTTATTACAGTGGTTATATTTTTGTTCCGTTTTACAGCTTGGTGATTTAGATGATGAGACACGAGGAATGGTAGAAAAAATGATGTTTGACCAAAGACAAAAAGCTGTGAGTATTATTGGATGAATGTTGACTTAATCATTTAGAAATAATTCTGCCAATTTGGCAGCTAATGTAAAGTAAAGCCAGAAGGTTAGGATGTAACCTTGATTATCTTGACACTGTTGGTCTGACTTGCTACTTAACAATTAGATTATGAGCTCGAGATTTCTATCGCGCGATAGTTGATGAGGATGCAGCCCGAATCAACTATCACGCATAGAAATCGAGAGCGAATCTAAATGTTTTAGCATAAATCTACTAGGCATTCAAAACTTTATCTAAACCCTCTTCACAGACACCTCGAAAACGCACAAAAGCGGCTTCCAATTTGTTAACAAGCGCTCGCTTCTACGCTACTCACTATCTACAACAGAATAGATAGTGAGTAGCATAGCCAATCAGAGAACGCCATTCCTGATAGAACGGTAGTAGACTTATTCTAAAATCAAAAGAAAGCTTGAGGTCTTAGTCTGCTGGCGAAGAATTGGAAAGAAATGAGTATTTTGTCAACTGTATTTTACACTATTAAATTGTGCTAGTGAGAAGGTTCTAAGTGACGGAAAGAAATTCGACAGGGATGGTATTTTAAAGGAAAATGCTCAGCTCTTAGACTAGATATCAAACATGTTAGATAAGACTAGATTTTGACTGCTTTGTTTGTAATGTGAACATCAAAATTCTCCGTACAATAGAGACAGGCGATAGAATGTCTGTGAAGAATGGGATACTCTTGATGTACATGCGCCAACAAACTCTCACTACCAACAGAACTAACTGTAATCTGTGCAACCTTAACGATTCAAAAGGAAAATAAGGCGTCCAATGATTTAACGGCTGGGCTTACTACGACTTGCTTTGGTGTTTGTCATGACAACTGACATGAGGAATTTGTATTTTTATCTTGGAGCTAAAAGGTTAAACAAGTGCGTTAACACTTTGGTTTGAGCAGTCATAACAGACTCTTTTTCCGCCACAGATGGGATTACCCACCTCCGAAGAACAGAAGAAGCAAGATGTTCTTAAAAAGTGAGTTAGTTTTTTACTAGTAGAAGCATGCTACAGTAAAGCATTGTAGATGTAACTTCCCTTCGTCGGTATTATTTCGTCTTTACTTTTGGTACATGGTAGATATATCTTGCTTTAAGAATGCTCGCAGGTTGTCAGTTTGTTAGTTTATTTATTACTAGAAGAAGCATACTAAACCATTGTGGGCCTATTTACATTGTAATTACGGAAATACCAGCCTGTGAGAAGGTTATCCACTCAGGAAAATTAAGGAAATGTCAGGAGAAATTTTTTGTCTTCAAACCACATTCCTCCATCTGTATTTAACAATTATTCCACGAGCGCGCGTTGGATATGAGATGGTAGTTAGCCAATGAGACGCGTAGAGCCGAGTTGGCTATAATCATTTCATATCCAACAAGTGCAAGTGGAGCAATTGCTTCATAAAAAACGCTCCCAAGTATAAAAACTAAACTAAGATTAAGATAAAAACGTCCGAAAAAAAAATCACCTGTACCCTTACATATTTGTGGAGCACGGTATAATAGCCCATAGCCCATGATGGCTAAGCCAATGAAAACTCTCAAATTGCATTATCCAATGATCCAGTTTTTAATAATGTTTATTATCTTGTCTTTACTTCTGGTATACACCCCGGGGCGGAGGGGGGGGGGGG